TCCTTGTTGGTCTTCAGACAACAATTCTGACGGCTAAAGAACCAAATGGGACAGGCAAAAAAATAAAAAAATAAGTGGATGGTGGCACAGCAGTTTGACTCCAAGTTTCCAGTTCTGTGAGTGCCAGAGGGGCCGTGTGGATGTTCTCTATGCTGAGCTGATAAGAGTGCAACCAGCCAGTGTTTATGTCCGACCACAAACAGGCCTCTTCTTTCTGTCTGCACATTCATGCAGCGTGAAGCTAAACACAGCCAGTCACAGAGATCTTTAGCGCAGCTGCAGTTCTTAAAGGCAAAGCAGACTTTCCACTCTGGGCTTTTCTGTAGATATAAATCGAGGATTTATGTAAATAACTTTGATGGCTGAGTAGCAAACATAAAGCTACCATTTCTGCATAAGTGTGCAAACCGTGAGGATTTTACCCCTGCAGTCTGCACCCTGTCAAATCAAGCAGGAGCTTTGTTTTGGAAAGAAAGAAGTGACTTCCTGTATTTACTGTTCTGCACTACTCAGACTGTCCTTTAACACCCCCACTTCTTTGCTTCTAGGAAAAGCACTTTTTCCACAAAGTGAATGAGCGTCTTTCAAAGCCGAACATCTTCATCCTCAACAATCGCTGGGACGCCTCAGCAAATGAACCAGAGTACATGGAGGACGTGAGTATGGGATTGCTGTGTCATCAGCCTCCAATGGAAGAGTTACATAATGTAAAAAACCTCTCATACGTGAAGGTGGCGTGTCTTCTTTCTCAGGTGAGGAAGCAGCACACAGACCGTTGTGTGAACTTCTTGGTGGACGAGCTCAAAGTTTTGGACCGTGATAAGGCACCCAACCACATTTTCTTTGTCTCTGCAAAGGAGGTGCTCAATTCCCGTATGCAGCGTGCACAAGGCATGCCTGAAACAGGTGAGGATACAGGGAAGGTCGGACTAACAAAGTGTACCACCCAGATTTCATACACGTGCGTTCACCAGTGTTACGCAGAAGCCTTGATATCAATATAAAGCAGAACTATGAACGAACATTAAATTAGAGGTTTAGATGTTTACATCCGACGTGAGTCAAAGTATTGTACGCGTGTATTTTTGCAGTCATGTTCAGAACTTTATGATCTTTCTAAAGTGATTAAATTGTCCAACAGGTGGCGCTCTTGCTGAGGGCTTCCAGGAGAGACTGAAGGAGTTTCAGTGCTTTGAAAGGAGGTTTGAGGTGTGTTTGTGTGCGTTTAGGAAAACAAATACATTGAAGCGTATATTCCAATGTTTACTAACAAACTGAGTGTTGGATTGATGTTTCAGTCGTTACAAATATAGGATTCAAAGAAACGTTAGGTTGCATGGATGCCTGCTGAGAGCTGCAGTTAGCGCATTGTCAGAAATTACAGCTGAAGAAAGAAGGGAACTCACCGCTAAGCTAACTGAGATCCTCATTCATTGTGAGCAGGAGAAGAAAAGAGTGGCTGCTCTACAAGAAGCAGAACTTAGCTTGTTGCATAAGTCTGCTAACATTTGTGGAATAAATTAGAAATCTTCAGATGTTCCTTTGCCAGCTCAAAGTAGTAGTAGTAGTCTGTGTGTGTTTCGATGTTTTTAAAAAAACAAGAGTCGGCGTGAGTCTTTCCTCGAGCAGTAACAGCTGACAGAAGCAGCCAGCTGCTCAGACTTTGACTCGCCGTCCACTCGCTGCGCCTTTTTTACATCAACCTGCGTCTTCATTGCTGAAATCTAGATTCACTTAGGTGAGGGCAGCCGTTCGTTTTGTTCCACATTTTTTCATTGAGTTTTCTGTTTGTTTGTTTTTTTGTTTTTTTTTAAATTTTGCATCTTATTTTGGTATTTTGGTTTTTGTTGTATTTCACTGTATAGATCCTGGGAATATAAGCACATAGAATAAGAGACATTTGGCTTCACTGGCAGCTTGGTCTGGCTGTTGGGGTTGTCAGTGATGGATGCTGGAACATCAGATTAGATCCAACATAGGAAAATGTTAAAGTAGGCAGTTAGCAAGTTAGCATACACTTCTCCTCCTTTACACCTGAAATAGCCCAATAAAGGAGGAATTGTTTGGAAGAGAGCATGTCAGAGAAATCATCATACAGCTGGAAAAAGGGGAAACAAAAAGTGCTCTGAGAGAAAAACAAAGAAAGCACAGTTCTGATGAAGTTTATTTACTATATCGTTAGAGAGCTGCTTCTGTCAGGAATCTGTTCCCAGTAAGTCATCGCGATACTCTTTACTTAACTTAAAATGAAGAACAGCTACTTTAAATCCCAACATGACATAAAATTCCTACTTATCTATGTTGCACTTCCTCCTTCATTCTGTTGCGTTTGTGTTTAAATTCACTTAATATGTTGATTTTTATTTCTTAATTTTGTTGTGAGATCACCAACACACTACTGTGACCAAATGTGGGCTGCGTGACACAAGATACGCACTCTGCTGCTGTCGTTTCCACACCTGTGTTTCCATTTCTTTTCTTCTTCTTTTAAGTCAAACGTAGCAGGTGTTTATCTTGTCCTACATTCGTCCCTGGTGGCGTGCAAGTTCCCGCACGGCGTCCAGCAGCAGCCACAGTAAATGTCACAGTAACTTGTGTGTTATGGCCTCGCAGGAGTGTATCTCGCAGTCAGCAGTGAAAACAAAGTTTGAGCAGCACACTATCAGGGCCAAGCAGATCACAGAACAAGTCAAGAGCATAATGGATGCCATCCACATCGAGGCCGCGGAGAAGAGGTGAGCGCCCGCTACGTTTTCTTTACTTATGTCTGATCTTCCTCCAGCTGAAGGGTTTCTAGAGATAAAACATCAGCATGCTGAAAAATTATGTGATCATTTGAGTTGTGAACACGTTTTTTTGCTTCTTCCTGCTGTGCAGGTCTAATCAACGTTTTACTGTCAAGTTATTTACCTGCTAGTTTGCATGTGTGACAGCATTTCCTGTTTGGGGGGGTGGGTCTTCAGAGTGGCGGCACTGGAGGACAGAGAGTATCAGATGGATCGGCTGGAGTTTGTCAAGAATCAACTCAACCTGCTAATCGATGAAATTAAAAAGAAGATCAAGGCGATCAGTGAGGACGTGGAGTCCAAGGTAACAAAAGGAGAAATGGATGTTTTTCTGCCCTGAAGGATCTCCAACCTCAGATATTTACTGTGTGATTACACCAACACATGCAGTGCTAATTATCTGCTGATCACTTTCATCTGATCATAGTTTTTAAGGAGCCAGATATTACTATATATCAGCTAAGAGGTTTTTTTCTGCTTATAAAACAGATTTCTCGTTTATTTATTAACTTGGTCACGCTGTCTGCTTTTATTAGCAAACACGTTGCCAACAGCAGGTGCAGGGTGCCCTCTGGTGGCCAAATTATGCATAATCAACACCTGATTGAAGGGTGTTTCACCTGTCTCTTCTTTAGATCAGCTGATAGATTTATCAGATGTTATAAATGCCAGTAGGTCAGCAAATAGCAAATATTATATCAATCAATCAATTTATTTGTAAGCAACATTTAAAAACCACACAGGTTGACCAAAGTGCTGCACATAGTAACAAAAGTAACAAGTAGAACAAACACGCACAGAGAATAAAACACAAACTCAGTCATGATTAAAAGCTAGAGAGTAAAAATGTGTTTTGAGACAGGCTTTAAAAATGTCGAGTGTTGGAGAGATCCTAATCTGAAGAGGCGGACTGATCCGAAGTTTGGGCGCAGCAGTCACAAAGGCCCGGTCTGCTCTGTGTAGCCTGCTGCCAGGGACAATCAGAAGCAACTTATCAGCTGACTGTTCTGCATCTGTTTGCAGTATTTTTAGTTAAAAGGTCAGAGAGGTATGACAGAGCTAATCCATTTAGAGACTTAAAAATAAGCAATAACATCTTAAAATCAATTCTACAATGCACTGGAAGCCAGTGTAAACGAGCCTGGAGAGATGTGGTCATGTTTACGAGCGCCTGTCAGGAGTCGGACTGCAGCATCCTGAACTAGCTGAAGAGCAGAGCCTGGCTGGTACCGAAATAAAGACGATTACAGTCGTCAAGCCTGGATGAAATAAACGCATGGATCACTTTCTCAGAGTCAGCAGGTGACAAGATATTCTTAGTTTTTGCAATTATATCAATATCAGCTCAGCGATGACTTGATCGGGCTTCAAAGACAAATAAGATCGGAGAAGATGGAACGAGCCATTTTTAACATTTTATTTGAACCAGCCGATTAACAGAGCTTTTGTCTGTTTCCTTTCTCCTTTAAATGAAAGTAACTTAATTACCTCTATGTGCAAAAATAAAACTGTAATTGTTTTTTCTTCTTTATTTCGCTGATATTGGAAAAACTTCTCGATGCCTGGACAGAAACCAGAGGAAGCTCCGTTGTGTGTCATTGACTAGATCAACTTGAGCTCCCATGTTGCATTTTATCCAGGTTTCCACCGCCATGGGGGAGGAGATCTGTCGCCTTCATTTAATTGTTGATGAGTTCCACTGTGACTTCCACCCCTCACCTCAGGTCCTCAAAATGTACAAGTCTGTAAGTAAAGGCAGCATAAAAACACCTCAGAAATAAAAGCCAATAAAATGATGTTCTGCTTAGCCGGCTGAAGGGTCAACAATCGATGCTCATTAAAGTTGTCTGCTACACATTCAGTCACCAAGCAGATAAACTGCCTGTACATACTACTTGATGAAGTTTCTCTCTGCTACACTGTGTACTACACACATTTAGTCTTTATCTGACAGGCTTCTATTTCCTTCCTCTGAAAGCAGTTAGCATCTGCTAGCTTTAGCACTACAGTGTTCCAATTTCAGTGCAATAACAGATGCCAAGTCTGCATAAACACTGTGACAGTGCCATGCGTGCAAAGATCCTTTTTTCCATCTGACCTCTGACCCCTGTTGCTGTTGGCAGGAGCTGCTGGCTCACGTGGAGGAGGGGATGGGCAAGAATTTGGCTTTCCGCTGCTCCAATGCTGTCAACGCCTCTGTTCAGTCCACCCAGGAATACATGATAGGTAATTCACGTAACACGGATGTTAATAAGAGCTCCTTTGCAATATAAAAGCTGAAGTCGTTAACACAATTTCTGAAAATGGTTTCATCTCTTAAGAAATGGATATTTTTTATTAGAAAATGGCTTCAGGGCAGCATTTTTTCGCTCCATCACTCATTTGCAGCATTGCTAAACTTGGTCAGAATCTTTTTGCCTTCAGGCTGATGTCTGCTACACCCTGATCACTGCTATATTTACCCTCCTCGCTGAATGCCGTCATTCCATGCCCCATTATGCGACAAATGCGTCACGCATGCAAGCTGTGCTCGGTGACAGTGATGTTGTAAAGGTGTTGATGTGCCCTCTGATGAAAAGACTTCCGGAGCTGTTCTATAAATCGGTTTCTCTTTTTCCTTGTAAGGAAAAGTGCAACACAAACGTGTCATATTTGGTTCTTAACCTTGAGCCCAGCAGGTCCCTAAAGTTATACCAGCTAAATGTGAATGTCCTCATTTTGAAGGGCTGCCCACCTCGTGTCCAAATATGCCTTCTCTTCATTTTATGCTGGGATTCTCCCTTTCCAGAGAGCATGCTCCCTCTGCTTCCCTCTTCAACCCAGAGCCAGGTGTCCATGCTGATGAACAGCAGGAAGTTTGACATGAGTTACGACCTAAACTGCGCCACACTTTGCAGCGACTTCCAGGAAGACGTTGAGTTTAAGTTTTCGCTGGGCTGGAAAGCGTTAGTCCACCGCTTTCTGGGATCTGCCAATGCAGAGAGAGCTCTTAGACTGGTGGACCAGAACTTTCAGGTGCGCACCAATCAAGAATTATTATTGTAATGAGACTTTTTCACACCCTATTCTGAAAAACTCTGCTTGTCTTTCCTTAGACACCTCGCCCAGCACTGCCTCAGGCCCAAACACCCTCCTCCTCAGCGCCCCCCACGACCGTGGCAGTGCCCAACCAGCAGACAGCCCTCGTGACCCAGGAGGACCTGATGGTAGCCATCGCTTCCCTCAATTCCCGCACTTCAATGGGCGTACTGGTTGTTGGAGGAGTGGTATGTTGTGTCTGAGGTCGTTTTTAATTCCAACATATGAAATGTGGTGTGTGAGTAAAGAGTAAGGAAGACAGTAAGTGCATTTTTTTATCTAGCACATTTCAAACAGAAGTGATTTACAATAAAAAGAAATAGAAGAAGCTGCTCTTAACCACAGCACTGGTTTCACTGTCAAAGATGTTTGAACCTGTTTTAATAAAAGAAGCCCGAGAACCCGGGTCTCATTTTAACCTCTCAGTTAATAGTGGACAGTCAAACAATATGAACTCTGATTGGACATATTTAACTGTAAGAAACTGTTTTGACATTTTTATTTGATGCTTTGTTATGGACCAGCGCGTTCCAGTATTCAGAAATCAAAAGTCATGTAAAGTTCAGCTAAATGTCCAAAACCGTGTCCAACGAAATTCAGGCCTTATGTTTGCCACCACTGAACTAACATGTACCCCCGTGTGAATCAGCAGGAAGTAGACTATCTTTGTGATGTGCATTTTAGCCTGTTTAACATTTTCCTGTTAAAATGGTTGATATTTGTTCCATTGTAGCTCAAAAGGATTGTTTAGATGACCGTCTTTGTAAACCTATGGAGAGTAGTATTTGCAAATACACGGTGCTGAACTTGACATGTTTAATCTAAGCTTCCACCACCTAAACAGCAAAAGAAGCATGCTTCACCTGCCTACTCTCTCTCAGGTGTGGAGAACCGTTGGCTGGAGGCTGATCGCCCTGTCAGCTTCTCTCTATGGCCTGCTGTACGTATACGAGAGACTCACTTGGACCACGAAGGCAAAGGAGCGTGCTCTGAAGCGGCAGTTTGTGGACTACGCATCCGATAAAATGCAGCTCATGGTCAGCCTTACGAGTGCAAACTGTAGCAAACAAGTCCAACAGTAAGTGTGCTGCCTTTCATATTATCTGTCCATCGAGTGAGCTGACGGTGTGCACTGTGAACCATCTAAAAATTATTTCTGCCACTTGCTCTTCTGTGTGCATGAACAGGTTATAGCCTCATGGTTTTTGCTTCCCTCCTCCTGCCTCCTTTCCTAATTTAAACCTACACAGCTCAGCCCCGCCCTCTGTAACAGAGCTAAATAAATAAGCAGTGCCACACTGTGCCCTCTGTGTTACCAGGGAGATGGCAACCACCTTTGCTAGGCTCTGTCAGCAGGTGGACCAGACGCAGAAAGAGCTGGAGGCAGAAATCCGTCAACTGACAGCGAAGATCGATCAGCTGGAGAGCATCCAGAGCCGCTCCAAGAGCCTGCGGTCAGTCCAGCTCCCTCTCTTATCAGGAATAACGGGAAAAGTAGAGTGTCTGTCTGGGAATTTATCAGGAACCAGTGTGGGGAACGTTAACATCTCAGATCAAATGAATGATAACAGTAATTGGAAACGTATAGTTGAGTTCTACATGACAGATATCACAAAATGTTATCTCAACCCAAGAAGGTAATAAGTCAAGTATTTCTTTTTGTACACGATGTGTGCAGACATAAAGCCACTGACCTGGAGAAGCAGCTGGAGGAGTTCACCAAGCAGTATTTGCAGCCTGAGCAGTGAAGTTCCTGTTCTTCATCGCTCCACAGTTCAGTCTCACGGAGCCAGTCATTCCTCAGTTCGGTGCCACGTCACTGCAAGATCGCGCAAACTACAGCCGAGGTTTATGCGCCGATGTTTTGATAATCAGCTTCTCAATTATTCATTTATAATTTTGTTGGTACCCCGGGAACAGTTTGCAATCTGAATAGCCACTTGTAATTTTTTCCTTCTTTTTGTCATTTTGTAGATTTGACTGTTAATCTAAAAAAAAAAAAGAAAGACGATTCTTCATGATTAGCAGAGAGACGGGCAAAGGCCCAGACAGGTGTGCTGTATGTCAGGCTCTTCTAAAAGCAGTGAACACACCTGAATCCTGTGGTGCAGATATGCTCCACGGGTCACTGTTATCCTGGTCGGTGTGCACACCACCGGTCGGGTGCTGTATTTGGACACTAACGTGCTTCTGACTGTGAATATTTCAGTAACCTCTACGACTGTACGTGCATCTGTTTGGTCACATCTGCATTGTGTGAAAAACAAATTAATTTAATAATGAAAGAAAACATTTTCACAGGAAGCTCAGTAAATTCACTCAATCGTTTGAGTACGAATGAAAAGCTGAAGCCTTGTCTGCTATTTTCTAATACTCCAAACTGTATAGAAAAGCTTTCAAAATATTCATATATATATATATTTTATAATACCCTATTTTATTTATACCCATTAACTGATGATGACTACACCAGTGTGCACTTTGTAAACTTTTTTTCCTCAAATGTGTCCTGAAGTATGTGCAGATTTTCCAAATTGCATTAAAACTGCAATGATCTAAAACAAGATTTTGTGTGTTTCTTTTTGGACACTTACAGAAAAAAGGTCAAAGGTGTTCAATATTGCAATAAATTAGAGTCACTCTGCTGCTAGTTTACGATTGAATGGCGTGAAGTCGACAATAACATGCCGTCTGCTGCTGATAATGACTACTGACTGTAAAATGAACAGCAAAAATCAAGAGCGCAAATCTGTGGCTGTCTACATGCACAGAAATCTCCGGCCAGACCTACATCAATTTGAAAGAGGAATTCCTCCACTGATAGTGATGTAGTTGCTGCACCCGAGGTTCTATGTAGGAGCATAACCAGAAAACAGCCAGTTTAGTGGAGCCCCCTGTTGTACAGAGACACTGCAGACATGTTGCACGGACTCGGATATGCTTTGGCAATCGGCCGCATTTGGGAATTAGCAAATATTTGCAAGCCTTAGCAAATCTGAGAGTGAATGCAGTGCTGTTATTAGCATACACATTGCTTCCAACCAGCAGTTTGGTTACCACAACTACTTGTAATCTGTCACTGAATTAGGAGGCTGGTTTGGTGTGACTAGAGCCGTAAAAGCAACACAAAAAAACAGCTTGGCATATGAACTGTGCAGGATTTCTTTTTTTCTTTTAAGGACGGAGGTTCTCCGAGTATGTTTGCAGTTCCCTAAGAATACAGACTCATTTTATATTAATGGTTTATAGCTTGATTCACTTGTTAGCAAGACATTTGCTACGAGTCTCCCCAGCAGCTCCCGACAAAGGCACCTGCGCGTTGTTTTAACTTCTAAGTAAATAATGAACAAATGACTCGTATGTGCTTTACATAATAGTTAAAAAGAGCATTTTGAGCTCAACAAACTACCTCACTGACTGACTTCTGTGTGTAGATGTGTTTCACAGTTATATGGGCGGGAAAGTTTGCGTGCCTGTGAGAGTGCGCTGTGTGTTTGTTTGCAAAGACCATCCATGTTTTCTTGGTTAAAAGCTTTTTATTGGTTACAATAATTCATGGCAACGTATCAGTATCACCACGCCACTGTACAAGTACAAAAAAAAAGGTCTGGTGTGAAAAAAAGACTATAAAAATTATTCCATAACAAGTGATTATAATTTCACACAATAGCACTGTAAGAGAATTATCATGGCACCAAGTCCCTGGTCTTTACTGGCTTAAAACATAATAAATAAAAATCAAACGAAGGAAGTTTCAGAACAGTAAGTCAAAGTAGATTTGAAGGGCAGTGCATTTTCTTGTGACCATGCGGTGGCGGTCCTGTAATGCTAATGGGGAATACTTTTTTCCTCTGATGAGCGACTTTCAGAAACAACTTTTTCATTTTCTAATGAACTTGCACGGCCTTTGCCAAAAATACTGCGAATGCGTGCAGCAATGACGTTTGCAAGCCTGCTCTGAGGTTCAACATCTGCACTGCATGCGCCAAAGCTGCTGAAAAACAACAGCGTGCAGTCAAGTCTACTTCAATAATGAACACACTGGGGTTTTTGGTACTTTTGGACTCTAAAAGTATCAAATAAGGACATCACGTAGGGCTGCGGGGATGAACTGGAAAAGACTTCAGGTAAATACAACAGTTAGATGAAGTCAAGCACCTGTATTTGTTTTGTTTTTGACTGAAGAGTTTCCTGCTCTACTTGCATGAGCGAACGGCACAGGCACATAAAAGGATTACTGTTCCCGGGTTCCAGCTGCTAATAGTGCTGAATTACAGAGCGACACGATGGTTGTCTGCTAAAAGTCACTGTCAGTAATGCAGACAACACCCCCACACACACAGACACACACTTCCTTTTAAGCTGTTAAGGGCTAAGGTGTTTTTTTTTCCACAGCTAATGTTGGCAAATGAAAGTGAAAAAACTAAAGGAACAGTTCAACATTGTGGGAAAGGTGTTTACTCACTTCCTGGCACGGGGACTCGCACGCTTAGATGACCGAGATGGATCCTATTTATTCTTTAAAAGCGCTGAAAGGCAAAATCTCACAACAATATTTAGAGGCTTCATATTTCTGTTCAGTCATCGTTTGCCTCTCTGGGAAACCCTGCCTTTCATTCTTATTCTTCATGGTGTGGATCTCAGAATAAAGCGCTATGGCTGAATGCAGCTCAGGTAGTATGAATACGAGTCCATTTAATCTTGAAGTTGTTTCTGTTTTTACAGGAAAAATGTTGAGAAAAGTGTTTTTCCTCATTAAGAGAAGCACTTTAATTGTGACAAAGGCCGTTATGAACACGCAGCATCTCGTTACTGTCAGGCATCACAGACAGTGCCTACAGAGGTGGACCTCTACCAGTTACAGACTCAGCTGCTCAGTTAGAGTCACACTAGATTAATAAAGTCTAATTTGTACATTTTGGTCACGTTATGCTAATGACACACGAGTGTCAAGTAATTAACCCACGATCGTGTGGTTTGAAGGTCACTCTATCACAAACACCAGGATGGAGACTTTGGATGTTCCTGGCTGTTTAACCCTGATGTATCACGTCTGATATGTGTGGTTTTGTGAGTTTGAGACTTCCACATCGTTACTGTGAATTTTTCCCAGTGAAAGAAATGTCTCAATACATTTTAAAGCAATAAATTGGAAAAACAAACCCATTCATGTATTATGTTGTCTGGTTTCTGTGACGGTCTGAATATTACAGTTTGTATTTACCGTGCCCCCATCCAGTGACATTTTAATGAAATTTAATATTCTGATACGACTGCAAGAAAGCACATTTCCCAAAAGTTCATACTGCTTCTTTAAATTCAAGCTGAGGACCTGTGAACACCTTATGTCCACCGAGCTGAATAGAAAAATGAGCTCTGTCAGCACTCTGGGAAAACTCATCGTCCTCTCCTCATCATCACCGTCACATGTAAGCAGCCGCCCTGTTTGATCATCAAACACCAGACTGGATTGAAAATCAGACGCTGAGGTGACTTTTGATTTGATGGAGGAAGAGGAGGAGGAGGAGGAGGAGGAGGCTGCCACTGGAGTACAGTGAGCTAACGTGTAGTTTTCAGTTCACAGCTCAAGGTCTGTGGGTAACTTTGGCACCAGTCTAACACTTGGATCTATACGTTATCCACAAACATCATCAGATTACACCCCACACACACCTCACACAGATATTCTCAGGTTCAAATAACTGCTTTTTAACATTTGCTGAAAAAGGACTTTCATGATGCAAAGCTGTGACGAAGCAGCAGACGGGTCAGTAGACACGGGGGCAAACAGGCATCTCACACATACTACAAACGGATCTGCAGTAATATTAGAAAGCAGAGTTGTATAAAAGGTGCTGCCGAGCACTCTAAGCCGTCTGTGGTGTTGCGGTGGGTTTTCTGCAGGCATGCCTTCTTTTTGTAGTGTTCTACGGGAAAACGTTCTTATTGATCAGCGGCTAAACAGGAAGCGTGAGAGAAAAACATTACGGTAGCTGAAGCTCGTTTAACCTCCGATTATGAATGATATCGTAAGGCAGAATGGAGACACGATAGTTCCACATCCACAGGTGCACCAACCCTCGTTATCCCGCCCGTGTGGCTCAATGTTTACATCTATAAATAGGCACCTGAGACAGCTGATGGATAGGTCCAACTCACACACGTCACATGTGTGAGTGTTTAAAGCCTTTTAAGGAGCTGAGAATAATGGAAGATGCACGATAAGAAAATACTTAAATCAGAATTACCACGTCTATGTGTAAATAAGTCACGTGTGCTCGACGGTTTAACATTTGTACTACAGTTCATGAGTGCTGTTCTAGCTCTCTACTAAGTGTACATTTCACTTGCCATATTTAACAGTTCATAATGTTTCTGTTGAAAACAGTGAAAGTGTTAAACCCTTAAAAATGTGTAGTTTCTTCTTCTTTTACAGGCCTGTGGTGGCACTGCTGTGACTTTGGCTGTCATGGTCACACACCTTGTTAATGACACAAACAACCCATCCTTCATTGAAAAAAAACCGTCACGGTGAGCTGTGGCCGTCGTCCCTCCTTCTGACGGAGTCACTAATGTCCTTGGCGGTCCTGACATGAAGCTCCTCCTTTAAAGGGCCGCTCGGGGATAAGGTGTCCACTTGCAGCGCCGTTTTCTACACCAGCGTCATTCGAAGGGCGGCGCGTGATCTCAGATTGTGCAGGCCGTACGAAACAGGGATGCAACGACCTCCTTCAATCCTATCATTGCGACCGAAGCGGCCCCCTGAGCATCCACAGTCCACTCAAGCAGGGCCTCGGATAAAATAAAGTTTCTATCTGAGTCTACAATTCACCAGTTTCTACTTTGGGGCTGGATCCAGACTTAAATCACAACCACAGCACTCCAATCATTTCCTTCCAAAATAAAAGACTGGTGGGAACGCTGGGATTCAGGCTTTTTTTGTTGGTTTTTGTTCTTTTTTAAAAAGAGAGCGATCACAGCCATCATTGACATGAATGCAACATTTACAGGTACAGGGTGCATGAATGATGTCACCACCTGTAACCATAACACAGAGATACAGGTGAATAAGGTGAGTTTTTGGTTTAGGTGTCAGATCCTGTGCACGATGAATCGGCGTCGCTAAATCAACGGGAAAATTTGGAAACGTTACGCTGCTTTGTATCCGTTTAAACTCCCACACGATTTGGCATCTTGTTGCATTACATGAGTATGTCCATTCAAAATAAAATACCATATCAAAAATGATATTTATAAAAAAAACTAAACTCAAGGGCTGGAAATAATCTACAAAAATATATACATACACATTATATATGCATATATGATGCATATATACACACACAATGCTATACATATATATGTATATACTGTCTTTATATATAAATGTACATGTTAGACACCGATGCTAATCTTGTTGTTAGTCATGGTAACACATACCTTTGGAAAATTATTCGTGTGAGGACCAAATCTTCTTTTCTTAACATTTTTACTGGACACTCTGATTTCTGCTGCTGAGCAACGGCTCGCTGAACAAAACTAAACATCTGGTAGGAAGCAGCTGGTGCTTTCTCACAGGTCACCAGCAGAGATGATAACTGGGGTTAAGGAGAGTCAGCTAACACAGTGTGTGCACCCGCCCAGTGATGAGTTGGGATATGCCGGGTGGGGTTGTGGAGGGAGGAGGGGGTAGTTTTTGAGTATGACAGGCTCGTTTAATTCCAGATCCGGAGGAAACTGTCCCAGGAGCCGGTGGCCACAGCCATGCCGTCGCCCGTCACTCCTAAGCAGCTCACTCTGTTGTCGTGGCCCGCTAACACACCTGGAGGGTGAAAAACAAACCAGTCACAGGTCAAAACAAACCTCCATCCCACTGAGACTCTGCAGGTCAGTAATGACTTTAAAACATCAGCTGCATAAGTGATGCAGGCCTTCATGATGTCTGTAATTATCAGCTCGTGTTTTACATCCGTTATCTCGTCAAAAACACTGGTTCCACTGGTTTCACTGGTTTGAATTCAACTCACTTCAGAAGAGTTGGATTCAGTTTGCGTGCATGTCCCTCACTTCATCCGAGTCCTTCAACTCTGAATAATACCACAACTTTAATGGGACCAGTCGGCTGTTGAACAATAAGAAGTGCTGCATGTGCACAAGCAGCAACGCTCACTGACGTGCACGTCGTCAGCTGACAGACGCCACCGATCGTTAAAAAGCAACATGGGCGTCTTCATGAACACAAACTGTTTACAGGAGCTGAATAAGTTCTTGTCAGTAGTAGAGAACCCACAGAGTTCAGGTGTGACTCACCTGCACGCTCGCCCTTCAGCGTGTCCCAGACGTTGCAGTTGAAGTCATCGTAGCCGGCCAGGAGCAGGCGGCCGCTCTTGGAGAACGCCACGGAGGTGATGCCGCAGATAATGTTGTCGTGGCTGTACGTCATCAGCTCCTGGTCTGCACGCAGATCAAACAGCCTGCAGGTGGCGTCGTCAGAGCCCGTCCCAAAGGCATTCCCATTGGGGAAAAACTGTCGGGGGGGGGACATGGATCGCGCAGATAAGTGATGAATTGTTTTCAGGGTTTTGTCTCTAAGGAAGTCGTTTCTATGACGATGCCTGTTTTACACTGCCAGGAAAAGATTATAATACAGGAAGCATGACTACAACACACTGATAGATGATGATTGTTGTCAAACACTGACGTCAGCCGGTTCCTCTGCAGGAAGGTGCTCAGCTTCAGTCGCTCTGCTTTCATCACACTGACGTAAAGGCCGTGAACTTTAACCTTCACGTCTTCAGTTTTTAAAATGAGCCTTTTTCATTTGACTAAATGATAACTTTATCAATACATTTCAGTCAGACTCCACCCTCTTTGGCTGGGTGCTCTCCTGCTCAACATTTGCTCCAGTATTATCCCGGTTCTCTGTCAGGCTACGGTGACAGCCGTTTGTTTGGAATAAACAGGATCAGCCCACAATTTTCCCAGAAGTCTGCTACGCGGACGCGCTCATAACAAAGATCAACACCAGGCCACATTTACTTCTAAAATGCTGAGACATAATCGATCTGTCTTTGTGATCGTCGACGCTCCCACGTCTCCTTGTGATTAAATCTCGGGTACTCACGGTGACGGCGTTGATGTCAGACACGTGGCCGGTGAACGACTGCCTGCACATGCCGTCGCGGATGTCCCACAGCTTGGAAGTGGCGTCACAGGCTCCCGACACAAAGGTCTTGTAGTCCGGGCTCAAAGACAAGCTCATCACATCGCCTGTGTGGCCAGAGAAGCTTGTAGTTTGCTGGCCTGTCTCTATGTCCCACAATGCACTGCAACGAGGAAGCAGGACAGACATATGAACTCTTCATGAAAAATATGCTTTATTAGACTTTCTTATTCATGCGTCGTATTGCAAGATCATCGCAGTGATCAAAGGCTCTGCACGCAGCTTCACAAACCTTCTGCGATGACAACAACACGTTACACAGCTCGTAAGAGCGTCCGCAGTCTACTGCGACACATCACACGAATATTTCCATCATGAAGAGAACTGAACGGTTTAAACTCACCAGGTGGTGTCTCCAGAGCTGGTGAGTATCTGGTTATCATCCAAGAAACGGCAGCAGGACAAATAACCTGGAGGCAAACAGAAGGTTCCAGATGAGACTCCTGTGTGCGCCCCACTCACACTGTGTGTTTCCTCTCTCCTACTGTCAGCTCTTCCACATGTTTCACACTGGCTGTGCTTCCTAATGCAAAGGGATTAATGTCTCCTCCTGAAATCAAACTGGGATGTTGTGTGTGAGCCACTATGCTGTAGCCCTTATGGCCCCCGTCAGCCACGCAGGATCTACAGCTACAGTACGAAGTCAGATTCAAATGTTTAATATGAAAACAGAATAAATAAATATAAGGGTCGCTGGTCTCTGCCTCCCCCAGACTCACCTGTCTGATCTTCACTTTCCAATAAAAGCAACAAATAATCAATAAAAAAAGAAAGAAACATGAAAGATCTTATTGAGGGTCTGTGAATTATGACAGAGTGTCAGGGCCACATTAAGAGAAATATTATTCATTCTGAGAATAAAGTTGAAATGTGAAGATTGATGAATCAAACGCCTCCACGCCAGCCTCTAAACCGGCTCATGTAGGTGAGTTAGTGAAACGACCCAATGATCATGCTAGTTCTGGTTTTCCTTCTGATCGGCTGCAGCTTTCTGCAGAGCTCATCCTTAACTTACCCCCACCCTGTGTTTACGAGCTAAAACACAAACGATGACTTTCTGAGACTCTGACGTACAGTTTCACTAACTTTTCCCCTTCTTGTGGCTCTAGTGCTCGTTTGTAATTAACCATTCGTTTCTTGGCTGGGCGTGTGCTTACCTGTGTGTCCAGGTAGCTCTCTGGTGACGCGCACGTTGCCTTCGCGGGTCTTCAGGCTGTATATGGAGCAGATGTTGTCCAAACCTCCGCAGGCCACGTAGTTTCCAGAAGGGGCGTAGGCGCACGTCATCACCCATGAAGAGCGCAGAGGGATGGCGTGCATCTGATTAAAGGGAAAGTGATTTCTTTATTAAATACAGTGAAAGCGCTTCATGTGGCGCCTTAGTTTGACTAAAAGCTTCAAGAGTTCAACGGATGAAAATTACATCAAAACATTATTTTCACTTATAGGAACTTCAGTAAAAAGGAAATGAAAGGATGGATTCTTCTATTCCTTCATCTGGTGCTGCTGCAAACAAAACAAAATAAAGAAAGTAGAAGCCATAATTAACTGATGCATACGTGAGAGATGAGGGTCTGAAATCACTATTTTACTTTGCACGGGGTTGGATCTTAATGCAGTTGTAGATGTTACAAAAATCACAACAAAAACAATCAAACCTTGTTTGTTGTGTAGCTGTCCCAGATGATTAGCTTCCCATCTTGTGATGCACTGACAAGTAACCTAAAAACGAGAAGAGCAGCGTGACTCTGAGCTCGTGGTGAAAAGCCTACACGAGCTAAGCTGCATGCACCCGGTTTCATTAAAAGCAAGCCAGCCTTGCAAGTTACTGTGCTGCACTGTCAGCCTGGTTACAACGCTCTCACTTCTCCCGCTGGAAGCCTCTTCGTCCCGGGTAATGTCCCACTCTATGGAATATTTATTACCCCAGCTACATGAAAGTCTACTGTCGGGTGGGAAAGCGCTAGAAAGAAGCAGAGGTGGGGCGGCTAAATGTATCGGCAGCAAAAATAGCCCCGAGAAAAGGTGGAGCCAGAGATGGGTACGATAGGACGAGAGCTACAGATGGTGCAGATGCACAAACAGCTGGAACCCCTCCCTCCTATCCTGACTGGGTGTTTCCATCTCTCCGGGGACAGGAAGTAGCTTGTTGGTGCTGCGGTACAAATCAAGAGGAGAGCTATCATGCTCAAATGTCAGTAGCTGTATACAAATCAAACAGTGGCCACCTGCAGGGTCACCGGGAGGGTGCGAGGCACACCCAGGCACACCGACACACCGACACACCAACGAGGACAGACAGCCCTGCATCTGATCACAACCTGCTAATAAAACTGCATCTTATGTTAAGAAAAACTACAAAAACAGAGACACTTATTAATCTGTATCTACGTATTGCCTAAGGATTAGTGATGCATGCACACTGATGGTGACATTAACTGCTCCGTCTCAGTGTCATAACTGCAGCAAACCGTTAAAAAGGCAGTTTGTAAGCTTGAATTCATCGAGCACTCAGTGCATGTAGCGACAGCTGAAGATTTCCTCTCTGGGAAAATTTGAAATATAAATATATTAATTATTTTAAAAAATGTTCTGATTTTAGGAACTTACAAACTGCATCCTTAAGAAGATTATTAAATAAGCTGTGGAGCTGCGATTGTGCTCACAGTAAAACGGTGCTCGTCCCATTTATGGTGGTATTAGTCATATTAATAGACAGGTAGCAGTAACAACATGAACAGCAGTAGTGGTAGTAGTTTAGCCCCACACCTGGGACTGTCGTCACTGCACCAGTGCATCGCATTGGAAGACAGACACAAAGAAAGAGAGTGACACACACAAAGATACAGTTTTTAACAGCAATAAATACGAGATGTTGTGAACCTCACGACTGTCATTTTTGTTGTGCAGCACACTTTCACCTGGAGCTTGTTGGTCTACAAACTGTTAATAAATGAAGCATCAACAGAGATTAATCAGGATGTGACTGAGGATTTATGGTTACGACTGCTTTCTAAAGGTGTGTTCATATTTGCAGACCATCAGCCCCACAGGCAGACTCCATGTAGTCTGACCACTGTCATTCTGTTACTGACCAACCAGGACTCAAATTCAGTGCCAGCACACAGCCAGCTAAAGACAAAGCAGATCAACTACTGCCAATTCAGAACAGATGCTATCAGGCGAAGCAGCATCTCAGTGAAGTCCAAACTCACTGCTCTGGACTCCTCCAGCAGAAAACAGCTGAGTGATTAATGTACGAATACAACAAAAAGCCGTAGTAAGCAAACGCTCAATGAGAGAGCAGAAGATAAACAGCTCGAGTGAATTTCACATCCTGGCTGCAGTTAACAATTCTGTTAATAACCAGCACACTACCTGGAGTCACTCCCCCAGTGCATTGCATAGATCTTGGCCAGGTGGCCCCTGAGAGTGCGTCGCGTCCGCATCTGTATCCGGCCCACCGAGTCCAGACCAGCTGTGATCTGCCAAAACACAGGAAGACGTGTCAGCGGTTACACTAGAAGGCTCACTCATCAGTGGACACCAGCGGCGGCTGCAAAAACAGGCCATTATCTGTCGACGAGGCAGCGGGGCGAACGTTAGACGAGCTCGCTGCACGTCTGTGGGATATTTATATGGATCCATTGACAGCATGTGTGAATACTGAGATCCCCTGTTCTTATTCTGATTTACATGAGATATAATTGATCAAAGTAACACGTGTGGATCTACCAATGAACCGAATGGTAAATGCATTTATAGATATATAGTAACCTTAAACTCGTACCTGTGACAGTGTGGAGTCGCTGCAGGCTTTTCTGGCATCCTGCAACATAACAAAACGGGAAACTTTAGCGTGTTCGACCACCACGTAGCAAACGGCTTATCAATGTGTTTAAACCTGATTCACTGCCAGTCGCAGAGATGATCCAACAGCAATCACACAGACCGACTGATGTTTATTCAAGTGACTGACAGAAGTTACACACGTCACAGTGTCGCTGCATGCAGTGAACACACAGAGCACGTGTGATGTACGCACACACACAAAAACAACAACAATATAAACAAAAAAGCACAAACAGCATGTCGTCGTACCCGAATCTGATTGCGTAGTTGCTCAGCTTCCTGTCGCAATTGTTCCAGCTCGCTCATTGTTTCGCTGATGGGCCGCGCTCTGCACACCGACTACGCTGGGAAAACACACGTGCCTGCTCACACACGCATGCAAACTCACACGCACACACACACACACACACACACTCACGCACACTTTACCAGCTGACGCCTGCAAGAAAGACAGACAGAAACACTTTAGGTTGAAGGATGAGAAACAAACACAAGTATCCTGTTTGGGTTCACACCAAAGAAGAAGGTGCTGCAGAGGGTGGGGCGGCGGCAGCTCCACGGGTGGTCTGGCTCTTCAAACACCCTCAGTCTGGTTCAAAAGGCCATCTGAGCCCAGCTCTGACCTTTACTGGCTCAATCAGCCTTTTGTGTTGCTGCATTGCACTGGCTGCTCCGCCCGCCGTCTGTGTTTTTGTGTTGAATGTGCTCTGTTGTGTACTGTGGGCAGATCTGGATTGTCTATTTGATAACATGTCCAAGTGGGAAAAAGCATATATTTTTCAGTTTGTGTGTGAGTGTCTAAATGTGTGTGTCAGGGTTAAGTGCGTCATCCCTTTGCAGATGCATGCGCACAAACATGCGCGCGCACATGCCGGTTGCCACTTCCTTTACCTTGGGGAGTCTGAATGTGGGTCACAGAGCACTTACACACTCCTTGGAAATGTTTGGACAGCAACCCCCCTCCACACGCCTCCAACATGCCCCGCCCCCTGACGTTCCACTGTTTCACAGTCCAGAAGACAAACTCAGTGAGATTACATTTTTAGTCCCGTTTTCTAAAATTCAACAATTAAAGTTCAGTCTTTCCTCTTCACAGGACACAGTGCAGATGTAACGAGGAGGATGTTTGTGTTTCAGCTTCAGTTTTGCAGATGCTTTAAAACCGTGGTACACGAGGTGGAAAAAAGGCAGGTAAACAACTTAAGATAATGATAAGATGTTTATACAGTTCAGATGACTTTTATCTCGACATCACTTGAGCTGCTTTTGGCTGTTTTTCCACTGCACTGACACAACAGAGACCTCGACTGCTCGTCGTGGCCTCGGCTCAGCCAACGGGGCCTTTGACAGGCACTGCAACGCTCTCAGCTGTCTAGGAGTGACGTCACTGTCGCTGACGCAACCCCCACTAAGAAGGGTCTGGGCGTCAGCTCTCCGGTGATGTGCCCCCACGCTATCACTGCTATGGATCCACTAGCCTGTACCTCTCTGCCACGTCACCATGTGCCTCTCGTGGATGACCATAACACCCAGTTTGACCTTCTCCACCTTCTGGTTATGGTGGGAGATGACGTGAGAAATGATTCAGCTTCATAGGCTGACAGACAGAAGGATATCCAACCAGAATAAAACTGCAAGCACTGATTTATGGGAGATGTTCCAGTAGTGATTATTATTCATTCAGCAGCTAAAACAGAACACATGAAAGTGCTGTCGTAAGCACAAACACACGCTCATACAACATTTACGTGTAGTGACTTACAGTTGTGAAACTCGGGTCGTTTGTGTATTTTTTCCCTCCACTTGTGTGATTTGAGTCATGCGTGCAGCCAGTGAGCTGGCCTACAAAGACCTAGATCATGGCGCAGGATCAGGCGCAACAAAAGCGGAGCTGTGTGTTGCAGCTGCCCATTGTTTAGTATGTGGTGCCAGTATAGCAGATAGGTCTGCTTGGCACCGCCGCCACATTTGGGGCCTCTGCGATAGGCCACGGGAGGCCACAATTGCTACTTCTCTGCACAGCATCCAAGCACACAGCCCTCCGTGCATTCATTCATCTTGTTCAGCCTGGTGCTCGCAGTGGCCGACAGGACACCGCGGTGCCTAAACTGGGATAAAACATCTGCTGCCTGCTTCAAACTGTGGACATGTAAGACAGAAAGGCACTGGTGGAAATAATCACAAACGCTGCATTTTATTTTGAAAACTGACCACGGGTATTTTCGGCTGCTCCCTTATTTCCCAAGGGATCGGGACAGCGGACAGATGTGCATCTTTGATTGTGCAAAGACGCCAGGCCTGGGCCCAGCACTAGCTGCTGATGCCCCGAGCCCGGGTGTGTCTCCTCCTGGTCTCATACCGCAGAGCTTTCCCATTACAGGTGAATGTGTCAGCTGCTAAATCACTGAGAATAATCTCAACAAACAGCTTGAACATCACTCAGTGTGCACAAAATGTTTAGCTATAAAGCCATAGTGACCTTTATTTAATTACTTCTCATTAACAGCAGCAATCAAATGTAATGAGTAATGACTTAAGTACTGATCAATATAATTCACAAAGTGTTTCACAAAGCATCAAATCATCAGGACAAAGAACATTTTAATTAAGACACGAGAAATCTATAAAATAAGTAAAAACTACGATATATTAAAATGACATTTAGATTTGTTACAGTAACAGAAAAAAAAACACATGGCCTCAAAGCCTGCAGTATAATAATCTTTTTTTTAAACTCACCGTTTTTAGTTTCTTTGAATGTTAATTAATAGTTTAATAGTTTGACTATGATACTGGCTGCTGTTGCTGCTTTTATGACTTAATCACTACTGCGAACCTGTCTGTGTTTATCATGTGTGAGGAATACACACGTTATCTGAACTGCATCCAACTCCAAGACACTCTACACACCTCTACATCCGTGTCAGACTGTTCAGTGTCTGCTCCTGCAGACGCACAGACACAGTGTTTCATGTTAAGGCAGAACTACACCTAAGGACACCATGGGAACTCCAAAGGCAAGTCCTATGAGATCTAAATCAGAAAAATCCAACTGTGAGAACACACAGCGGTCTAGTTTGGTTAACAGAGCAGCAGCTTTAGGGGCACGGCAAAATGAAATGAGCAGGAAGTTTACCAACATGCAGGTGTGGACACACTTGGGCTGCGAGCACCTCGTACCAGTGCTTACAGTAAGTTGTTCATATTATGACTTCTGAAATCATATCTTATACCTGTATACAGCACAAATCCTCTTATTATTAAAAAGAATGACTTACACTTTCACATAGTTTGCTTGTGATAAAATTTTAATTACTTGGAATCAATCAGTGCTCTAAACCAACGTTTTTCAGGCTCTTGTCTAGCGAGCACTCAAAGCACTTTATACAATTGTTCACACAAGCTCTTTTTGCTTTGTCTAAGTGCTCTATCACCCTCAGATGAAGGCATCAATATCTGGGATCGAACCACCGAGCTTCCGATTACTAGATAAGATTGACTAGTATTAGATTTGTTTGTTTGTCTTCAGCTGATGTGCTGAGTTATTTGTTAGAAAACACACCAAAAAGACAAAACGTGATTTGTAGTGAATGTGCACCTCCTGAAATGGGTAGCAGGCTATGGTTCAGCGTGTGAAACTGCAAATGCAGCAGGGCGACTCCACAGGTGTGAACTTGTTCAGGTGACCTACAGACTATTCCAGACATCTGGAGAATGAAGCAAATATCTGAAAAATGTGCCGTATGGTGAGAGGCTTCCTGCAATAACTAGAGCACATATGAAACTGCACAGGAAATATGCGCCATGATTATGATTTCATTGCTTCCACACTTGTTCTGAAGTAGTTAATGCTTAAATAAAATCCCCCCAAAGCGTCACGCTGCTCTCTGGGTCAAAGCAGAGGCCCAAACCCGAGCATATCAGTTTATAGTAGGACATAAACCTCTGCGAAACACCGAGCTGCGGACGTTTGTGACTTTAGAAGTCATCCTTCCGATCATCTTATCGACCAATCAGCTAGCCGGTCATGCTTTCCCCACATTTAAAAGCTTTTTTTAAACAGTGAAACGCTTTACTATGCAAAGACCAAAATCAAAATGTATTCCATGTTTACAAACGTGTAAAGACTGAATACATCCGTGACACACGGACCAAAGAGCAAACGGCACCAGTTGATGCTCAGGGGAAGGCTGTCGTGTATATTTAGGAGAAAAGGAAAAGAAAATCTACGCAACCACATATGAGAGAACCAGATGTATGAAATGGAAATATCTGAACTGCTGTCTGCCCAGTGAAGGGTTTTGCCCCTACAGTTCCGCCTGACAGTGTGTAAAAGGCCGCGTTTGGTGAGCAGAGACGTTTCAGCAACGTAAAGCTTTTAGCTTAGAGAAAGAAAACAGCGCAGCCCGGGAACAGTTATTTCAACACCGCTGCCTGGAGTGAACCAGCTAACGGCGGTTTTTGCATATCAGCCGAGCTCAATGTAAAACAAACAAAAACAGCCGCGACCAGAGCAGGAAATAGCGTTTGTAAAATAAAAATAAAAAAACGCCACCAAAATATCAAGACTTGAGTGCACGTCCTCACCTGAAAACAGGCGGTTTGGGGCTCCGTCCGTCCTTCAGTCCGAGTCACACCGATCCGTTTTCACACGACAACCATGGCCGCAGCTGTGAGGGAATCGCAAAGGGAGCTAATTTTAAGCCCGTTTTAATCGGTTTAAATGGTCAGAAGCGAGCGCGACTCGTGTCGGATTTGACTAAAATTTTCACCAAGCAGGCTAATCACCACACCCATGAAAGTGGGAACATAGCAACAGCCTACGCTGAGGGGTGCCCGGTACATGACACATTCATATTCATGTTTCCTTGTTAATACAACAACTTATAGTGTAACCATGTCGTACTAAATTAGTTATAATTACGTCAATAATCTCGAGGAATCATTAAAAACACTTTAACTAGCTCTAGAAATATCTTTAATGACTCGTACACCCTACGGGTGAAATGGTACCGTCTGGCAGCTCCCTCTACAAAAAGGAACCGAATGGGATACAGGAAACAAATATTAGACCTAAAAAGCCAGTCATTGTAGTGGTTCAAACGACACATCTAAGGTTTGCAAACTCCACCTTTGCCCTCTCATTCAAATACAAACTGAGTTAATAACGCAGACACTGCAGTAGAAGTGAAAGTGAGGAGACTGCAGTGTTTTAACAACTTCACGAATGTAGTCTGTCAACAGCAACAGTTGTGACCACAGACTAGTGATGGCTGAGACGTGAAGGTACCTGCAGGTAGAGCTCCGCACCGTGAAAGGCCAGACAAGAAATGATTAATCAAAATCAAAAATGAGTGGTAAGTGCAGCTCTAATGACAAACATAGCTTGCTCTTCATCATCAAAGTAGCAGAAATATTTGTCTACTTTCTCTAGTCATCCTTTGGTTTCTTGACAGTTTAATGGATTTCGTTGCTTTACTATTCAGACAAATCTAATGAGTGAGTTAGAATTATAAATCTGTCTAAAACAAACTGAAATCCCTCAGGAGACAGCTGTGCCAAGTCTCACCCTGGCACACAGCAGTTGGCCTGCAGTGGGTTCATTGAAAACAATCTCTCTCCATTAGGACAGGATGAATATTTAATGGGGCCAATGAAAGGGAGCAGTGGGATAGGCTTTTCCATATCTCTGCACGAGCCATAATCAATGGAAGGGAGATGAAAGTTTTCCAGCGCCTGGTTTCCTTTCGGAGTTGCATGGGGGCAGATTAAGTCTAATTTAATTCATACACACAGCAGTAGTATGAGGATTAGGATTACCATGATAGCAGAGACATATGCCTTGGATGGTTTGCCATTAGTGCCAATGGGATTACATTTTCTTTATTTTACAGTGTTAATTTGCACAGCCTCGGAACAGGATATTATTCACAGTATGTTTTATTCATTAGCCTGTATGCATACATTAAAACCACACATTCTACAGCATTTAGCAAAATAGATCCGTAGGATGACACCTGCCAAAACCACAATCAATAATTTGCCCATGTGTTATAGAAAATACATCTTATCAGTCATAATGAAGATAAGCAGAACATTTAAGTGGTTTTAGTATTACTGTTTCATTTATAGCGTGCATGTAAAGTTGTACTAACAAGTTTAAGCCAGCCGGTTTCACAGATGACATAATACTGGGTCACCCTTTAGCGTTTTGTCAGATCATGTCTGAAGTTTGAATAGACTCCTAATTGCACAAGGTAGAGCTAAATCACGCAGCCTGAACACCGCTACAGCTCAGCTCTAGTCATGCGCTACATTAGTCAACACTGAGTGCTGTAGTTTTTTGGTTTTTTTTGTAGTGTTTTGGATCAGAGATTGGTTTTAAATGGAAGATAACTGCCTAAGAAGAAGTCAGCTTGTGTTCTCTCTCAGTAAAAAAGACTGAATTCATTAACCAGCTGAGAATCGCAGTCAGTGTGTCCAAAAGCACATCCTAGGCCAATCAGGTCCCTTGGTCCATTGCTTAGCAACCAGAAAGGAAGAAGCAGGGTTGGGGGAGCAAATTGACACTGTAAAAATAGAACATCAATAGCCTGGTGTGTGAAAAAAAGGAAGACACACATGTTGCCGAGGCTATAAATAGTGTTCTGGAGCCTGGAACAGGTATTGTGTACAGTAGCTTTGTCGTGTTGTACATTTTTGCATTTATTCGAATTTAGCAACACAGCTCAATGCATAGCAGTCATGCAAGTGAATAACATCATTTGAATTTTACGACGGTTTTATGGTGTAGGAGAAACAGCAAGAACTGACGTACCTGTATACTGCTGACTACAAGTCATCCCAAAACCATCAACAGGTCGGCACAGTTTGGATTTTTCTGTTTGTCAGCGTGGATACAAAATTCTCAGCATGCTGTAATAATACATTTCAGCGTGTTATCACTGATGTTTATGGAAATCCATAAGGGGAGGGGGGTTAGGGTTTGTTTGTTTTTCGTTTTAGTTAATAAATAATAAATAATAATAATATAAAATCACCAGGATAATATCTGATCTTTCTGCCTCATATCATAAATCTGTGTGCATATTGTTCAGGGGAATTCCAGTGATCTTTTCTCATATTACACCACCTTCATATATGACATTTTTAAACTGGGTAATGCATGTGTCTCGTGTAGAACAGTGTGCTCAAAAATAGATCTATCATATCCAATTCAGTTTCACAGGACTGCTCAATAATGACCCCAAAACGTGGGGGATCCGATCGAGTGGAGACAATGGGACGTCCTAAATGTTGGGGTTTTTTGAATCCCGATGTTTCGATTTTAGGCCACATGCCGTCACACCCCCTTGTAATACTTTCACTGTATCAGAGGCAATTAAAATGTGTAGCAACAGTAAAAGGCTTTATCGGGGCCGTCTTATCCACCAGACATCTCCCGGGGAGGCAGGCCGTTGTCAGGGTAACCCTCACAAATGGCAACTGACGTCAAAAAGGTAGGAGAAATACCAGGGAGAGCCAGAGCTGCTATGCATAATGGATTATTGGAAAAAAAGGCCCTCTTGAAGAGTGCAAAGTGACTTAAAATATGCGTGCCTTGCTGAGCTCACAGTCCTGTCTCACTCTGTGTGATGAGGAAAATAGATGTTGGCAAATTCTGGGTTTTACTTGCAGACTGCCACAGCTTAGCCTTGATTGGCCCTTGTCAAATGATGTATTTTGAGTAAAAGCTTGATGGAGAACAATCTCTGAATTTGGACACATAATGGTCTATGTCCTGTGACCTCTGTGTCATTTCTCAAAGTGCTGTGCTCCTCATTACGTTATATTCTGCTTCCAAAGAGCCAGCCTGCTTTCTGGAGCAGTGGGTCCCGGCTTCCTGAAGGTCTTTCAAACTTTTTCTTTGGACATTGTCTGCTTTTGGTGCACAACGTGGTGCAAAAACATGGCATATCTCAGCATAGTGTGCAGCGCATTATTAAAAAAATGTAGGAGACTGGCCTACAAAAACTATCTACAGCAGAGGATCAGTATGCGAATCAAATCTAGTAAAGACCTGACACATGATGCATTTGAGAGATGCATCTGACCCTTTATTTGACCCATCTATGTTCAAGTCTCACAAATGGTCTCAGAGGAAAGGTGTCTGTCAAGAGCCATTCTTAAGGAAGGGAAACAGAGAGAGGTGAAGGCTGAGGTTTGCCAAATTACACAAGAGCTGGACAGAAAATCAGTAACAACAGGCGTCTGGAGTGATGAATCCTAATTTGAAATTTTATGTTCAAATTGTCAATATTTACAGAAGAGGTGAGGAGACACTGTGTCTTCAGCTCTGCCATGGTTTTGATGCTACATTCAGTGCGGGTCTTGGCAATTGATGTCATTATGAACTCGTAAAAATAACACGAAGGGTTTAGGTTCTTGTCTAATGTCAGTGCTATTCCTGGGCCATGAGAGTGTCATGCAGCAGCAGCTTGGCGAAGAACCCGTCTGTGATCATGCCTCGCGTGTTGTGCTGGGAATCACACTCCTCGATCAACGACTGTGAAGTCATGTACTGCTGCTATCACATTGGTAGAGCAAAACAGAAGTATGGACGTGTAATACAGAAGTGACACTGTGTCCATTTAGGAGAAGATAATACATCTATATGTATGGATCTGTGCGATGCCATTATTATGACGTCATTAACTTTTTCACATAGAATAAAATCAGGTTTAACCCTGGAGAACCCATGGGGTCAGAGCCGACCCCATTGGTTTTCTAGGGAAACCATGGGGTCAATTTTGACCAATGGGGTCACCCCATTGGTCAAAATTGACCCCATGGGTTCTCCAGGGTTAATTTTTTTTTTGCCCACGAAGCTTTATGTCTCCAGCACACAACATTAAATTACAAGAAGAAAAATTTAGAGCACGAGTGTTTTTCTATAATGTTAATATCCAGGTTAAAATCAAATAAATGTACTAGTGTCCAAAGATTTATCTATTTGTTGAAAAGCTGCATATTTTTTGATGCTATATTTTCACTGTGGGTTTCAAAAATACACAATTTCCACATTTATTAATCAAACGACGCCCTCAATTACATTAAGGAAGAGCAACCCTTAATCTTTTGATTTAGGGAGAAGCTGCGGAGGAAATGTGCAAACAGAAGAAGTGAGAGTGTTTCAGTCCAGGGGAATCCCAGACACTTCTGTAAACCAGGGGTGCAACAAGCAGCACAAAGCATGAACCAACATGCTCTGAGTTTCCAAAGAAGTCGATCACACATCAGTATTGGGGGAGTGAGGAATAACCTTGGTGTGCTAATACCACCGTTTGCAGAGGCTGCCAAACTTCAACCCTCCGACGCCACGTGATCATTAATTTATTACCACGAGCACACTATTTCTTTCCCCTTTTTTTGACTTGACTTTTTGGTGCACCACAGATTTTTAACATGAGATAAGACCCACAGTTCACCTCTGCAATGCCTCAAAACCAACTTTATACCAGGTACAAAGTCTGAGTTCACAACCTCACTAAACACCACAGTCACCAGCGTTTCCTCTATTACACTGCAAACACCAAAAGGTGAGTTAAGTGCCTGAAAAATATCCGAGTTTTAGTAAGGTTTATACTGCAGACTTTAGCCTCGGAAACATAATTTTTCTATCAAAAAAAATATTTAAATACTATATTAAAACAGTAGGAATATTCTCATTTGTACTTGAATGTATACAGTATTCAGTATTCCTGAGTAAGTACATTTTCCCTGGTAAATATAGAGGTTACTGCGCCAACACATCATTGCTGTGAATCAAAAAGCTTGAC